AGAGAGAGAGAGAGAGAGAGAGAGAGAGAGAGAGAGAGAGAGAGAGAGAGAGAGAGAGAGAGAGAGAGAGAGAGAGAGAGAGAGAGAGAGAGAGAGAGAGAGTGAACAAGGTTACCAACCACATAAAGTAGATTGAGAACGAGTTGAGATATGGTGGATTTCCTTACACTATTCAGACCGACCCATGTCTTAACGGTTCCATGTGTGGACCCCCAGTAAATGTAGAGAATCCATCTATACTTCATCAATCCATATCAGTCTTGGTCTGTCTGTAGCCACCAGCGTCTTTCTTGGATTAATTTTATAAACAGTGTTATCTTTACCTATTAATAAACTTAAGATGAGTGATGAAATAATTTAGTCTATATTTTTGTAATTGTAATGAATTAGTTTTTAATTTTTATTTTCTGCAAATGAAAATATTGTTCAGCCTCAGAATTAAAAGCCTTAATTTAGAATCAGATTTTCTATATTTTAATAATACATTTAATAATACTTTATAATAAAATATTAATTCACTTCCAACTTATGATTACGAAAGGGCTTTTACTGATCATGGTAGATCTATGTTTGACAGTTTTTATTCAAAAAATTATTTTAATATGTGTTTAAATTTTTAAAAAATTAAATACCAAACATGTTTTTTAAAAACCAGCAAAAAAAAAAAAAAATAATTAAAAAATAAATGAAATATCAATTTTTACAGGTCAAAGTCAAAGTTCTGCATCTTAAACATATCGCCTACATTGTGCATTGCATCAAAGCTGCGACATAAATGTTGTGTTCATAAATGTGAGAAGTGAAGCAATCTTTTAAAATAAGTGAGGACAGCTGGAGGTTTGATTGCATCTCAGAAGGCAATTCACCACAGGAGAAATGCCTTATTAGAGGGTGTATGCTGTAGGGCATACTTCGTTTGTATTACAAAAATTTCATTTTTACATCAATCACATACTTGAGCTGTTGAACAATGACAAAATGTAATTTTATATATGGCCTAATCTGTACATTTCTAGCTTCAAACCTTATTTTAAAAAGTTATTCATTATTTAATTAATAAAAATAATAATTCTGCCTTTAATGCATACACTAGCCTTAGCCTTAATCTAGCTTATAATGGATTTGATACTGGTTATGGGACATTCATTTAGATTGTAACCAAATTTCTTATTTTAGTTTTAGTCTTATTTTTTATTTTACACATTCTTTAAAAAACAACCAATGAACAAGTTCGTCAATGTCATCTGACTATCTAGGGAACCACCCTAACCTCCCCCCCCCCTACTTCTTCTGGTTTGACAGTTCCAGAATGTTATTTTTCCCCAAAAAACTATGTCAGTTAAATTGTACTGAATGCCCAGCACATGGCGGCCAGCGCAACAATTAATTCACAAATAGGTGGCAGATCACCTTACCCCGATCATGTGTGGAACGTTGATGTGGAATTTACGTATCTGACGCAATCAAGCTTGAGAATAAAGGTCAGCAGTTTCCTCTTAATGATAATGGTTGTAAAATTTGTTGTTGAGTGCACACTACATTTTACTGTATGCTTATTTATTTACCTTTATGATATGGTAATGTACGACTTTACGATGGTTAAGTAGCCTACTATCATTAAATAATGTTGTAGGCCTACTATTTTTCGAGCTCCAGGGTAACCACGCCTGGTCTTGTACTTCTTATTCTTTTTTAATGCATAGTTTAATTTTATTTTGTACTACCTTTCAAAATTTATTTTAAAAAGCAGCTTATAAAAAGCCCCTGTAAGACAAGCAACATTTCCGTGTAAGTAATTTCATGCTACTCTAGTCTATACTTGTAATGGTGTACTTGTAAGTTGTAATGGTGCTAATATAGTTTTTATATACCTCAGTCTCAGTAGTTTGAAAGTTATATTTTGTAACTGTGATTTGTAAACTTTTGAGAATTGAAATGACCTTCTGGTCACGTATGATTTCAACTTGAATTGTTTGGTTTCCCTGTTGAAGCTGTCCTGCTGCATTTTATAATCAATTTTTCTAACGTAATAAATTAAATATAATCCTTGGTACAATGTAACTTTGGGAAATGTAAATACTGATAAGTCATTTGATCAAACATTCACCTTAAACTATTTGTTGACATGGATGCACTATGGCACTGTCCATGACTGACACAGATAACACTACATACAAAGATCACA